GGTATTAATTTGTAGTTATTTGAAAATTATTGATAACAATTATTTAAATGGCAAAAACACTGTTTTAAAGAGATTTTGCTGTTTAAGAACAATATTTTTGCCGTGTAAATTAATGTTAGTAATCTGCTATATTTTAGAATGAAATTTGAGTGAAATAAAACAAATATTATGCCTATACAGTGTGTCCCAAAATGATTGAACCAAATTCATATTTTTTTTCCAGTTCAGATTTAAAAAAATCGCTGAAACAAGTCAATCAGTAAGTAGAAATTTCACTTTTCTGCAATATTTTCTATTTTTCTGAGCCATTACCCTATAACATTACCCGCATTTTTTTTAATAGGACACTATACTTTATAGTATAAATAGATTATACAAATATTGCAGAAAAGTGACAATTTATATTTACTAATTGACCTGTTTCAGCGAATTATTTAAATTTCAACTTGAAAAAAAATTTTTGTTCCATCATTTTGGACACACTGTATATGTAGACTGATTGATATATCGTGGGAATTGGTAAAACCCAAGGGAAGGGGAGCCAAAAAGGCTTATTTGACTCGCACATACTCGAGACTAAGACCAATTTTAATAGGTACTATATTTTTTTAGGTTTTATGAGGAACGTCTTCCTAAAGTTTATCGACAGAATCCAGGAACATCCTTGCGAAAAATCAATTTTGCCATGAAACTATAAGAGTTAGGAAAATAAGTGAATATACACTTTTTGTCAATAACAAACTGTTCTATCTAAAAACAGCATCATATTTTATTTTTAGTAGGGCCGTATTATTTTTTTTATAATTTAATGAGTCTGAGTCCCTATAACTCCGCCACTGGTTGCTTGCGGGACTTCTACTTCTATGGAAAAACGGTATCTTATAAGAAGACGTGTCATGCCAAAATAGCCTTCTTCATTGAGAAGTTATTTAAAAAATTCTTATTTATTCTTATTTTTTTATGATTTATCTTTAAAGTTTGTCGACTTAATCCTGAAACACCCTGTATTGCTTACTGCAAAAGTTATTGGCTTTCAAACATTTTTTATTTACTTAATTTTAAGGAACACTGACATAGCCTTTTAAGGAAAGAAAATTGTAATTCAATAACACTGACGTATTTATTACCCCCCAAAAACCTACATGTACATACATGTACAGGGTGTCCCGTTCATGTTTCAAAAAAACTTGTGTGCAACTTCCTCATGGGAAAATAATAGGGGTAATTCATGTAAAGTTTTTTTCTTAGACGCCCTGTTTTCGAGATACAGTGTGTTGAAGTTGTTACTTTCCAAATGGTTTTCCTAAATCGGCTAAATATAAAAATGTCAAAATTTGTATACGAGTAAACATCAACTGTGCCTTAAGAATAATGTGCAAACGGTTTCTTTCTGAAAAGCAGTGTCGCCGATACAGGGTTTGAAGGTTTACAATCTGATTAAAATATGTTAAAAATCTAAATTAATTACATTTCTAAACGGTTCTGTAAACTCTAAAGCATACTACAAAAAAAGGTATACTTGTCAAAATTCGGTAGCATGTACCATTTTCCAAGGGTGTCCCAAAATTCACGTAAGAAGTGATTTTGATAAAAAAACAGGTTCTTATTTAAAAATTCTAAATTTTTTATTGATTCATAAAGTATACAGTATAGGGTTATGTATGGCATATCGGGTGAATGTCCTCCACGGCTTTACATAAATAATAATTTCGTTGATACAGCGCTCAGTTTTTTTCCTTCAAGGCGTGGGTGGTCGTGGGTTTGTTAGCATAAACCGTAGATTTCAGAAAACCCCAAAGAAAAATGACCAACGGCATTAAATCGCATGATCTGGGCGGCCAATTCTGGTCACCAAAACGAAAAATTACACGACCAAGATCTGATTCATGTAATTAAATTGTTTCTATATGGCATTGGTACCGTCTTGTTGAAATCATATCTCGTTTACATCCATATCTTTTTAGGCACAAAAAAGTGGATTATCATATTGCGATAGCAAGCACCATTAACTGTTATTGCAGCCGCATTTTCGAAGAAGTATGGTCTGATGATATCTCCAGCCCAAAATCCGCACCAAACAGTGACACGTTGTGGATGCATTTGTTTCTCAACAATCATTCGTAGATTTTCTGAACCCCAAATGCGACAATCTTGTCGATTAACGAAGCCATCAAGATGAAAATGAGCCTCATCGCAAGATGATTTTCGAAAAATCAGCATCCACTTGTTATTGTTCCATAATCCATTCTTCAAACTCTCTTCGTTCTACATGGTTAGTAGGCTTCAGTTTTTGAGTCAATTGAACTTTGTAAGCATGAAGATGCAAATCTTTCGTGAGAATACGCTGTAGAGAGCTTCTGGAAATGTTCAATTCTTGACTATGGTGCCGAATTGATGTTCTTGGACTATCCACAAACTCCTTCGATGTTTTGTATTGAACGACTTGTTGCAGGACGGTCAGAGTATTTAAGATCAATAATTGATCCAGTATCCTCGAATTTTTCATTTTATTTTTTCACACTTGATGAAGTTAAATCGCTGTTCTGACCATATTTTGTACGAAAATTTCGAACTGTAGGTGCCAAACCTTTGTTAATTTTTAAAATATTGCTCAACATTGAAGACGCGTTGTTCATTCATGTAGCCCTCCATTTTTAATAACCCTGAACTGTCAGCTGTCACACTGCCATTTTTTGTTCGTTGGGCGGAATATTCAAATCTTGCGTGGATTTTCGGACAGGGATTTATTTTTTGTCATTATTTTGTTCCTTTATGTTAATTTAAGGTTATTAAGCTAATAATGTTTAAAAAAACTCAACATTAAGCATGCATAGCGGTTTTGTCAATATAATGCACGCCCACTAGCAAACGAACCATGTTACCCCTTTTGGGGCCGAAGGGGGGAGGGGGGCGTCATGTCTGCCAGCAGTATGTAACGTTTGTGCGGTCGTTATGGAACTTATTTGGCAAGCGGCAGAAAATGGATGCTTTGACTTACCGTGGCTTCCAGACGGTTACGGTCCACTTTTTTCCCCAGATTTCCACCCNGCAATAAAAAATAGGGGTTTTCATTTGAAAAATCGAAGTTGACCCTCGTTTGACCTTGAAAATCGACTTCAAGGTCATTTTCAAGGTCACCTTCGTATGTCCCCCTCCCAACCCTATAACTTTTGTCTAAAACATTTTTCCTCATTCTGCTCGGGTTTCGAGATATTTGGGGTGGGACATTAAAATGGACACCCTGTATATATATATGTGGTATGAGAAAAAATGCTTCACATCGACTCAGGAGCTTATTTACCACACGGCAGAAAGTTAGGGTTCATGGATTTTTTGACGCGCCACGCCATATCCTAGACTATATGGATAATACAGGCCGACATAAAATATCGTTTGTTTTTAAAACGTGACCTATCTTTGGTAAAATTTTTAGCTGAATCCAAAAATGATAAAAAAAATCCTGACGTACGGATTCCCCCCACACACTCTTAATTGCTCCCAAAAATTCAAAAAATCCAAACTGGCTATCCAACCTATCTATTTTTTAGTAAAATTTTCCGCTGGCTGAATCCGAAAATGATAAAAAAAATTCTGACGTTTGGATTCCCCTCCACACATCCTCAATTCCCCCCAAAAATACAAAAATTCCGAACTGGGCTTCCAACCTATCTTTAGTAAAATTCGCTGAATCTGAAAATGGTAAAAGAATTGTTTGGACGCGAAGGATCCCCCGTACTCATCCGTATCTCTCACTTGCTTCTTTCAAAAATAAAAATATGTAAATACAAATCAGATGTGACAACCATTATAACTTTTATAAAATCTGTCGGTAAAGCCAAATCTAAAAAATATTTTTGAAATAAAAGTTCCGTTTGCTCGTACACTTAATCTTGCCCCCAGATAGCATTTGCAAATTACGGTTAGCATTGATGAATTTTTTCAGTGAAGGCTTACTGTTTTTCAAAATGTTTTAAACTCTTAAGTAACTTTAAACTAGGTAGCATACGGAAGCTATTTTCTAAATCCAGGTTATAACACACCGTGGATTGGTGAACACCTTGACGTGGCCTCAGGGCTTGAACGCACATTTTGATTGATTACGGAATTAAAATGCTAAAACATTTTAGAAAGTAATAGTATTGCACGTTTGCTTTATAACCCTGTCCAATTAGAAGAAGAAAGAACAATTTCTTTCATCCTGTGAGTATTATGCCAGTGAAAATAATTTAGATTTTATTTTTATTTATTAAAAATGGCATTAAGAATATCAAATAAGTAAAACCAACTATTTCATCAAGAACAAATAAAAGTATCAACAATTTTGTTTCATGAAATTATATTTCTCAAACTTTTAGTATTGCATAAACCTAAAATGACGTTTATAATGTTCAAGCACCATTTGAGGAAAACGTGGTTAAATCAATTTAGTTATTAACCGGTTTGAAATACAAAAAAGTGTAAAGAAACAACAAAAACAAGATAATACAATGGCGCATATGATGATGACCTATTTTATTTATAATATTATACAGAGGGATATATTTTATTTTGGCAAATAATGATCAATGATACCTCCATACCTCCGCTACAGGTAAATTTGTAAAGTTGGTAATTTTTTGTTTTTTACCTACTGTCATACGCACACCGAATTTGGTTAAATTATCTTACGCGATTTAGAAATTAAAAGTTAAAAACTTTTTTTTTGACACTAGCTGGACAATGGCTGTCCTAAGATCCCACATTTATATTACAAAAACCCTTATTTTGGCCACAGAATACCCCTTGGATTTTTGAACTCTACTTAAGAAACACCCTGTATATCTTTAAATTAAACAAACAAAAGTATATGAGGCAATCTTGCGACATTTCTGTTATACAATCTTTCTCTGAACATTTTTAGACTTGCCGTGAATCACCCTGTACACACGATTGTTTAATGCAGTTAAAAACATTGTGGTTTAGATATTAGAAATTCTAATGTTATATATTTATATTAATAGGATTCCCAAGATTCAGATGATAAAGAGAACTGGTGCCAGATGATAAGTGTTACTGTTTCCATTTTTATGAACTTTTGACACAAAAATGTTCAGGTAAGTCTCTTCGAGTAATACTTAATATAACCTACCGTAGTGCAGTTAAATAATAACAAACAGGGGTTAAACATGGAAAAAATATTTTTCCTCAATATTTTTTGCCATTTATTATAAAAAAGACCATTCCTATCTATAAACCAAATTCGTTCTATAGGAATTTACGTGATGCGGAATTCAAATTCGATTAGTATTTAAGTAACTATTAAAAAATCAAATTATCTAAGTATATAGAGTCTCCTAGAGACGAGTTTTATTGTCATTAATTTCCAAAATCTCGTTTTAATAATACTTAATTCTGAAATAAATAAACCACATTTAATTAAACAACACACAATGACAGATATTTTTTATTCTCATCAAAATGTTAAAGAACGAGCTGCAGCAAGAAATTATGCGGAAACTTATCCCAATAGGATAGAAAGTTATTTTCAAGGTTGTTTCAAAGATTGAGAGAGACTGGTAGCTTTCGCCACCGTAATCAAAATGGTCGACCAATAGTTCGCATGGTTATACAAGAAGAAAATTTAGATAGCTTGAAGAAAACTGATATAACAAAAAATATTTTCAAAACCAAAAATCTGAAGAATTGCCCTTCTTTGATGTATAGAAATAAATAATTGGACTATGTCAATTCCAATTTACCAAATCGCGTCATGATGCTTCAAAAAAATTATAGTATTTAAATCCACTATAGCCGCAGCAAAAGATAGAAGGTAGAAACACAACGTGCGCTTCGCAACATTCTGTACGGCTATAATGATACGATGAGATGCGGGCATAGCTGTTATCTTGCCTCTATCTGAATCTGAAACCGCGACGCTCCAGTATATTCATACCCTTACTTTGACTTATCGGATAGCTTAGTTTGTAAAACATAGGGTAGCTTATTTAAAGCAGTAGTTACCTCTCGTATAGAACAAACAACGGCCTGAAAGCAGAGATTGTGATTCCCACTGCGCAGGTCTTAAAGCATACGCAACGACAGGGTTACACTTTGACAACACCCATGAACATCAGGGCGGACCTAGGGGTTCTAGTAATTGTCCGAAATTCCGCAAAGCCTAGTTCGAAATGTCTCGAAGATTCCTAGTTAAAACTAAGCGAGTGAAAGATACAAAGGCTACGGCATAATAACCCAAAATACTATCGCACTGTAAATATTAGCACAGGCCGCGAAAGCCTTAAGACCACTATAACCGTGGCTAACTTGTTCGCCCTGCCTGAAGTCTTCTGGCTATGATTATGTTTTTCAGCCACTCAGATACAATTAAAGAAAATTATGATGCAGTTCTATGGAATATTTAATTTGTTTAAGAGATATATTCTGATTATGAAATAAAATTATGTGTTTGTTTTCGTTAAACATGCACATTTATAGCTTGTGACATTGTGACAAGATTGTGACATTCTGCGTCGAACAAAGCTGTGTTGAAAACATATTTTGGTTACTATTTTTAAATGTTTAAAATATGTTTCAAAATTATCTTGTAATTATACATATATTTTCTTGGTATTCATTCTAGTACCAATGCATTTATTGCTTAATTTACAAATTTAAAAACATTATTGAAATTGCCTTTCTATTTTTTCCATTTATAATAGAATATTAGTCTTCTATTGTGATTTGTCTAGTTTATTAGGCCAGGAGATAGCCACAGTAATTTTAAGCTGACTTCATTAATATTTTTTAAACATTATGCCGCTATTTGTGTGCCTTAAATTGTGAAAATGGCAAAAATGTTTTTCTGAACTGGTAGGTATACCCATAAGAGTAACTAAATAAGAGACTTTTATTGGATAGGGCGGATTGAACATGCATTCACTGAGGCCATCTCACGTTGTTGTAGCAAAACATTGTCCTTTATGGAAGTTGTTAAACAGAAATTTGCAACCACAAATCGAATCTGTATTTCCAAGCTTTCAATCAACAGAAATAGAATGCGTTGACTGAAATATTTCAATCAACGTCGAATGTTGGAGGTTTGAGGTTATAGTTTATTTTCAGTTCAGGTAAGTTGCCGCGTTTTGTACATTAATAAATTTGTTTTGTTTTAGATTAATGTAATAAGGGATTCATTGAATTAGTCATCTGAACTGCCTTACTACTGTATTTTTATTCAAAATGAGTTTACCTGGTAGAACTACACGTCAATGTTGTGCTCCAAATTGCAAAAGAACTTTCTATATGAATGTCTGTAATGCGTCCTATAGAAATAAAAGTTTTTTCAAAATTACAAAAGACAGACAATGACTGTGGATAGAATCAGTTCGAAAATTATGTAAATCAGACTTTGTTCCGACAAACACAGATCATTATTTTTGTGAAGACCATTTTGAGTTAAAATGTTTTAAAAGCAGTGATAGGAATAGTCTCAACAGAAATGCTGTGCCGACATTATTTTTAAGATCAACTACAAGTTCATATATTAATTGTAATAATATCACCTTGGAATCCTCGGATAGTATCCAATATTCAGCAAAACAATTTGTTAACGTAACATTACAGAATTTTCAGAGTACGAGCTGCCAAACTTCAATTTCGGATGATTTTTCACATCCACCTATTAAAAAACCGAAATATATTCAAAATTGTTATATCCTACAAGCGCTACTGCGAGCACTAGAGCCATTACTGAGCAAGTTGAATGAAGCGGAATCAAATACTGGTTATGTAAGTACCTCACTTGATACTTCATTTTGTCAAAGCTGCACATCTTTTCAGTCAAATAATAAACAAAGAACATTTTTAAAACCTATGAATGTTAAGAGAATATCTTAACTTTCAGATAAATATAAAAAAAATGTAATATCTAGATTGTCAACAGAAAATTCAGATTTTGAAATTAAAAAGGAAACTATTAAAATGTAAAATTAATTTGGCTCATGTTCGTAGTATCACCTATTCTAATTTATTTGCAAAATTAAGTCGTCATCTTGATCCAGTAGGAGTAAAATTTATTGAGTCACAAATTAAAAATTGTGAAAAAAATGACCTATCTATAATTCAGAAAATAAAGCACTTGCTTTAGCGATTTACAAACGTGGGTCAAGGTGCTACAGGTTTTTACAAAAATTTTTTGTGCTGGCCTCTAAATCTTCCATAAGGAAATATTTAGGCCAAATACCTTTAAATGTTGGGATAAATGAAAAGTTGTTACGTAAATTATCAGAACATGTTAGTAAAATGATTACAAGAGATAAAGTTTGTTGTTTAGTATTTGATGAAATAGCTCTGTCTGTTGGTCTAAATTATGACACTTGTAAAGATCAAGTAACGGGATATGTCGATCTTGGGTCCCTGGGTAGACAAAATGAGGTAGCAAATCATGCTCTAGTGTTTTTGGTACAAGATATTAGTAAACATTGGAAGCAACCTATCGTGAATTATTTCGCAAAAGATGTTATAAAAACAAAGGACCTACACATTTTGTTAACTGAAATAATTTCAGCATTGCAGTGTTGTGGATTAAAAATAATTTGTACAGTTTGTGATCAAGGTTTTCCACTAACAGATCAGCTGTCAGACAGTTAGTTTTTGAGTCATCAAATAAATCCACTTTTAATGTTAATGGCGAGGAAATTATTCCCATTTTTGACGTTCCTCATTTGCTTAAAAAGACCAGAAATGCTTTATATAACAATAATATTAAATTTTCGCATAATAAAACAGCAAAATTCAACAACATAGTAAAATGTTATGAAATTGATAAATCTAGACGCTTCCAAGGTTTACGAAAGATACACGACCATTATTTCGAATTAAATCGTAGTAATGTTAAAATGAAAGTAAAAATTCCAGCAAAAAACGTTAAGTGCATCTGTAGCTCATGAAGTTGAGGCAATGGTGAGTAATCCCACTACTGGCATACCTGCTGAGGCTATTTATGCAGCAGAGTTTGAGAATGATATTAATGATCTTTTTTATAGTTTAAATTCTCGTATCATTCAGCTAAATAATTGCAGTTTTTTAAAGTCATCTATTACAAAGAAATCGGCACATATTACATTTTGGAATTGTTGGAAGAAATTCAGTCTTGGCAATTTCAGTCTCATAAAGACAACAAGTAAAAAATGTACATCCCGTAAAGTGTTAAAACATAATTAAAGTGTTTCAGAAGTAATGGGTCATAGAACAGCTGTTAATGGTTCACGTTAATTTTAATTGTTAACTTCAACTATTAGCAGCTGTTTTGTGATCTATTGCTTATGAAATACTTTTTATTCTGTGTATTTTATTATATTTAAATTTACCGCCATTATGATGCAGCGACATCTATTAGATAGTAGAATTAGAGGTTACTCTAATTGTGTTTTCCCATGTAGTTTCCTTAATTATTTTATGGTCTGTGTGTATCGTTTCACTACACATCAGCTACAGGTGGCGTACTCTGCCGCTGCTGCCGGCAAAAGACACAGAAAAAACCCTCTTATTTAGTTACTCTTATGGGTATACCTATTTTCTCCCGTGAATATACAAAAGTTATCAATAATTAATTGAATCAAGTGCATGCCTATGTTTATGAATCCTCTCCGCGCCTTGCGTCAGAATTGTGAACTATTTGTTAGGAGGGCATATACGTTGCAAAAAACAACTTCATTAGGTTAATGGAATGAGTCAACCTGATCTGTCACTAACTCAATATAGTTATCTATTAAACTTTCCTCAAAATTGAACGTTCGTAAGTAAAAAATATATTTGCGTTATTAAATTCAACTTACGACAAAATCTTCAATAAATGAATATTTGTTATTTTAATTTACCTAATTTATTTCAACTAAAAAATTATTTTATAATTTGAAGATATAAATAGACGTTTCCTTATCAATTTAATTGTACTACTAAATTTTTAAAATTTTACATTTGTTTTTAGCCTGTGAGAAATTATTAGTATTTGATTTTAAAATTTACTAATATGAACTCGCATTTATCTCTTGAAATTTTGGTGTTTTATGATTGGAGATATTCCATGTTTAATATTTTATATTGTAGTAATAGCTAGACATTCAAGCTAAAAATAATAAATTTGCGATGTTCAGTGCGAAAAAAGAACGAAGCTATTAAGACCTACCTACCCAAATTTACAAGCGTCAATGAGAATTTATAAATATTTAATCATTTAATTATACGTTTAATTTTACGTCAATGAATTAAGTAATTTCCTCTTTCATTTCCTTCGCATAAAAAAATCCCTTTTTTCTTCAGCTAAATTTATATACTTACCAGAGTTAATGAATACTAAATATTCTTAAACACAAATGACATTAATCTACATCATCCTTTCTTCTTTCTTAATAGAAAAAATAAAACAAAAATATCATGAAATTAAGGGGAGACAGATCAAATCCCAGTGTTGGAAATTTGAAAGTTATTCATTGTCAGACAAGTTTTGAGAACATTTATAGAAAGAAAAGTTGTAAGCTGTGAACGATATAAGCTTGTCAACAAAATTCCCAAATATTAATTTTAATTATTTAATAATAATTTGATTATTATTAGCTATTGTACTTTACGTTAGTTTAAAGATTTTAAAGTAGGTAATCCAAATCCACAATACTCCCTATTTTATTTTTTTTATGAAAAATCAAAAATGAAAACAGTCCTATTTTTTAATAACACCGAGCAAAATCCTAGAACAAACATTTCTTTGACATATAGAAGAAAAATAAAAATAATAAAAAACAAAACATTTACAAAACAAAATTAATGAAATAAAGAGGCTATAATAGTCTATTTTTTACATTAACAAAAGAAATCTACTGTCTTGAGCAAACCTACTCGGTATTGTTGATCATATTCAATCTTTTTTCTATGTACACTTAGTACATATCCATTTAACCAGACTATTATAAAACGAAAGTGTATACGGAATTGCAACGTTTGGGTTTACTATAAACTAAAACATAAAAAAATTTTCGCATCCTGAAAAGAATAATATTAATATAGAATAGGCAATGAAACGCAAAATATGTTTTGTTTTCCTATTAGCACATGTCTTATTTTTTTTAGTCACAAGTTAATCTTTATATCCATAGTTATAAAAAAGTTCTGTTCTACAGTTTTTTTTTATTTTATAAACATACTGGAAAAAGTTGATTCGATATATATTATGTATATAATTATTGTTATTTATGTGGTATTTACCTAACAACAGATTAATGTCGTTTTCTTGGTACCCATATGTGAATATCTTGATATTAGGTCGATATAAAAAATACCTAATATTGTTTAATTATATATGGCTAGATTGTTAAAATATTACATTGTGTATTGACCGGTTCGTGTTAGAAGGTTATAGAAATAATTACTGTGCAAAACGAATTTTCTATTTAGTTTTAAAACTGGTTTTATTGTGGCGAATTGCGTGGCGCTATCTATGTGCGGTCAACGGAACTAGCGGGAAGCCTTCCCAGCGACCGACCAAAATTTCGTCAGTATGTATATCTACCACGAAGTTATAACGTTTTGCGCGAAGTTGTCACGGAAACTCACATTGAACAGCGTACAGCAATCAAGTTTTAAATCCGGTAAAACAGCCACGGAGACGTGTTTCAAATGAGTGGAGAGTGTGTATCACGTCCGACTATGTCCTCTCGTCATGGTGAACACTTTCTCGGTTGTCACGATACCTCTCCGAACCACAGGAACACATATGAGTAAATAAATATTACTCGTATGCAGGAATACAGTCGGACGTAATACTCACTCCTCACCGTGCGCCCTTTGTAACATTTGATACGTTTTCGTGGCAGTTTTAGCGGCTTTAAGGCCGTTTTACACGCTACGAGAAACCGTAACGATGCGTGACAAATTTATTGCTGCAATAAATCGAAAGAGTGGAGTACTGTTTCCACGTTAACGATAAATCGGAACGATTTCCTTCCATATTTCGTTGTTAACAGCTATCGACCTCAAAAAAACTTTTGCCATGGAGGAAGTAGTGTTGTTGTCGTTGTACATCGGTTGTTTAGCGAGAAAAGTGAAAAAAGCGCAAAAACAGATAACAAAGTGGAGCCGCGAGTGGTTACTAAAGAGAAGAGAATTCTCTCATGTGAAGTTAATGAAAGAACTAAGAAATGAACCGAATGACTGGCGAAATTATTTGAGAATGGACGAAGAGACTTATGTTGAGTTGTTAAGGTCAGCCAAAAACAATCACCGGACTATATCTGATGAATTGCAAATGCAAACTGAGTGAAATTGTAGCGAGAAATGCCGGCTACTTGTTTACACGTTCAAACATGTCGTTACGATTCGCAGAAATTGATCCCGGCCGGCATCAACCATCCAACCCAACTCCCATTCCAATAAATCGCTACAATTTCCTATTTACACCCAACGATAAATCGTAACGATTCGATTGTTACGATAAATTCCTAGCGTTTATTGTAGCGTGTAAACCTGCCTTTAAATCAGAACTGAATTTCTGTACGCTGTTCAATGTCTGTTTCCATGACAACTGTTAAAAACTCGCTTCACGCAAAACGTTATAACTTCGTAGTCGATACACGTATACTGATGAATTTTTGTTCGGTCGCTCGACATCCGGAAGGCTTCTCATTACGTAGTCCCGTTGACCGCACATAGATAGAGCCACGCACTTAGCCCCAATAAAATCAGCCTTAAAACTTAATAGCCGGACAGTGTTATATTTATTTGGTCGGTCACAAATAATTTTATGAAATTACGATCTATCATTACATTTATCCAGGAGGGGGCAACTGCCCCCTGTTTCCTTCCTTTGGCGACGCCCATGCTGCCTCATATAGGATATTCACATTTTCGATATTTGCGTCATTTGCTGACTACGAAGATGTCATATGATATTATTTGCTTTATTGTTTTCGTCGAAATACGTTATTTATTTCATGTAGAATACTTTAAAAACAAAATATGGATAGTTCGTTTTTATTTTCTCGAATGAAATTTTGACAGTTCAGTAAAATATTCATCGACATCGTTCAAGTTTAGAGAAATAAAAAAGTGTATTTATGTAACTTATTTTAGAAACAAGAAAAGGTCCAATTTTCTCACAATCCTTTTATTTTTAAGAAAGACTACCGGTTTCGACGTTAAACTTTACACCTCATCTTCAGGTCTTACAAGGCTAAAATATAATAATAATTTTTTCTAAAATATGTCAAATTATTTATTTATTTATTTATTTATTTATTTATTTATTTGAAACACCATTCAACAGAACATATCCAATTACTGAATGGGTGGGAACACAATATGTAATATAAAAAAAAGAAAAATGACAGTAACCATTGGTAAAACAATTCGAAGACAAAAAAAAACTATAAATAAATTTAAAAGTAATAAAACTTAATAAACTATTTTACATTAAATAAAATAACACTAGTGTAAAACAGTCATATGCTTTAGTAAAATACAATAGACATTATACATATACACAACATAAAATGAATAACAAAATATTATGTTTACTTTTAATTTTTATAGAAGTCAAATTATGTTTTATTTTATTGACCTATTTAATAATTATTAATTTTTACAAATTACTATTTGATTTTTAAATTACTCACCTTGTACATATTTTTACTAAGATTCTGTGTCAGTTTTTTATAATTTACGAAGGTTTCTATAATTAAGGTATAAAATATTGTAAATTCCATGGAAGTTAACAAATATTAATGAAAACATAAGTAATCCTAATGAACGTATACTGACCTTGTCACTGTTTGCGAGAAAAAAATATCACCGGAAACTATTATGCTATACTTTCATGCTATAAATGGAAGTTACAATCTCCTTATTTTTTATTTCTATTATTTGTTAACTCTTAAAAATTCTAAAAAAATCGTGTTTTAATATACAAATTTATGAGACGGGTTCTAGAGGGGGATTATTCTATTTTTTTCTAATTACAATTTTTTTCTTTTGTATTTTCATTTTTATACAATAATGTACCCTATTAAACCAATTTTATTATAGAAGTAAATCTTGATGATTAATTCCTAAAAATACCATATTTTTAACTAAATTTCGAAAAAAAACCGCCACTCTTTTTCAAAAACCACTTTCTGGTTTAAAAATCAAAAAACTAAAAATGTATTATTTTTAATTTTTTTTATAAAACTAATTCTCAAAACGAACAAAATGAAAAAAAAAAGTTTGTGATATCTTTAGTTTTTGCCAAGATCCAAGTATTTAAAATCTTTTTACTCAAAATATTCAGCTACTCTAAATGGGTATAGGTACTAAATACTAATACCAGAAAATCAGGAAAATTAAAAATAATTCGGTCACGACCTCATTGATTTGGCATGGAATGCCCCATATATAAAAACAAAAATAGGAAAAATATGTATTGACATCCTTAAATTAAAATAGTATTGTTTTTAAATGAGGAATATTTTAATTCCAATTAGAATACATGTCTTAACAATGTCAAATAATTATGGAAAATGGCAAAACCGAAATTTGAAAATTGTATTAAAAAAAATGTTTTCTATATATCTTTGGGAAATTATTATTCATTAAAATATACAACTTTGCCCCAATTTAATCATCTTTATATAATTAGATTTTTTTAATAAGTGATAATCATCTATGTGTTAATAAATCAAGTGGCATCTATAATTAATATGCAGGTCATATTAATGAAGGTAAGTTTTAAGTGTTCTTTTGGGATATAATTAATGCCCCATAAAACGTTTTCTTGACTTTCTATTCAAGACTTTGCAGTTTTATTTAATAAAAGTAGTGATTTTTTCGAATTATTAATTAAAAATAGCTGTTGTGGTGGATCAAACAATAATTAATATATCGAAATTTATAATGTTTTAAGAAAGATAAAGAACAGTTTTTATGAGATAAGTAAATTTAGTTTACTTATTCTAGGTTAACAGATATATGCATGTTATCTAATTTCATTATTAATTTATCATGTGTTTTGATAACCTATAGTTACCTCGTTTATTAAATTTTAGGTTTTCAGCAATTCTCACTCAAGTTAGAATCAGCGAAAAGTTCATTATAGTCAGAAACATGGCCAAGAATCCAAGCGTTATAATAGTCGGTGCAGGCGTTTCCGGAATTGCAGCTGCAACAAAATTACTGGAAAACGGATTTGTCAATCTTACTGTCCTAGAGGCGGAAAATAAAATAGGCGGCAGGGTGTGTTCCGTAGAATTTGGCGGTAGTTTTGTGGACCTTGGTGGCCAGTGGGTTCACGGGGAAAAAGGCAATTTAGTCTACCAGAAAGTGAAAGACCTTGACCTGCTCAGTACGTCTCATAATACATTCAGTGACAATACGTACTATTTATCTAACGGAAGCATTGTTGACAAAGATATTACAGATCGCTTGTTCGCGATTGGCATGGAAATAATTGATGATAAGGAAGGCGCAAAAAATGGTACAGGCTCGGTTGGAGATTACTTCATAAAAGTGTAAGTAAAGTAAAGTCATTATTAATTACTCACCTTTAATTGTTTATGAATTATAATTAATATAATTAATTTATATTTATATTGACAATACTTAAGACATTTCAATGAAATTACGGGTTACATGTGACTAACGTGCCTAGCTCGGAGAAACATGCATTTATATTTTCCGAAACAGTTATCTACTAGTTATCTACGAAGAGCGGAATATTCTGGGGTATTCAAATTTAATTAAACTTTATATTTTTACTGAATTTTCCCATTTTGTATTTTTTTTTTATATACTAAATCAACTTAGCTTTGACCAGATGTCAACACCTACTGAGATATAGCTCTTTGATAATTTTTAGATGCCTACTGTTATTAGTCTAATAGATGTTAATTGATCCAAATCATAAAAAGAGGTTTTATAAACGCATACATTTGGCAAAAGGGTGAAGTTTAATTATTAGATTAGAATACTCCCTAATATCCGATTTTCCCCAACTGCAGTAGAAATTCTTTTCTTACAAGCTTTTTTTTTAATTTTACACACTTTACATTTTACACACTTATGTGTATGTTTGTATGTTACTTCAAATCTTGCGAGCCAAATTTGAACCACTTACAACTTTGAAATTTTGCATGCTTGTTCAGTTCTGATGGCAATACACTAAAATGAGTTTTTTTTAACTACACATGTATGTATGTCTAAGTCAAATCTTGCAAGCCAGATTTGAACCACTTCCTCTAAACTTACGACTTTGAAATTTTGCATGCTTATTCAGTTATAACAATAGTACATTAAAATGATAAAAATAACCTGATGCTGCAGCCAAGATTGTCTGTGTCCTCATGAGGGCAATCCTCAACGATTAGTAGCAGCAGTGTTACTTGAAATGGATAGATTGAGAAATATTTCTAACTAAAAAGGTATAAATAAATGAAAAGTAAAAAATATATTTTAAAAACAAGCTTTTATCAAAATGCACAAAAAATAGAAAATAATGAAGTTCATAAAACCCATAATGTTCTGTAAACCCCAAATCCACAAAAGGGTTGAATATGACTGCTCTATATAAGTGTCATCAGCAAAAGTATGATAAATAGACACGTACTATCTATAATCAGTATTACTTGTCGCGTAATTTCCTTAACTTACCTGTTAATTAACATATCGTCTAAAATTATGACCCATACTAATGTAAACTGGACAATTGCGCTTAGTATTGCCCCAAAGGAGATTTTTCATTACGGTAGTTAACAGTCAACATCCCACGGGCGAAACTTATATCAGTCTATGTATTTGAATCTGCCATGGGAAGTCTGCCATCACCTTCCAATTTTTTTTAGTTGCCATAAACTCCTTGTAAAACTAAACCCCTTGTAAAACCTAAAAAGGAGGCAAAACTCTGCTTTTAGTAGGTTTCTCCTTGAGCGTAGCCCTAGAAACAAGTATCAAGATTCAAGAAAGATTCTATCAACCCTTGCAACTCTCCAGATCCGAGTGAACACAAAAAAAAACATATAAAAATAAGCTACAAATCTATATTGGGCGGATACAAACAAATACACAACAAACAAGTGACGCGAGCTTATTTAACAAGTATGAACATGAATTCTTAACTTACAACATAGCACATTCATCCAATACGGCAAGCATATCCTGGACATACGAAAACAAAATCTTGAAATCTTTATGGATACATGAAACCCTGTACTTCCCGATACTCCAAAATCTGCTGCTCGATATTTAGTGTGTTACTCTTTGCATGAGACCCTGCAATGGTGTCTACTGCAATCATGAATATCTGAAATCTCTGAAGGCAGTTACAGTAAATTGTTTTATGAAAACTGCAAAAAGAGAGAGAAAACAGTCAACATTTTTTTCTTTAAAAATATCCAGACGTGCCTATGCGCACCCGATTTGTGGAACAGAAAACAATATTTTTATCGTAAAACGTGTATTGTTGATACTTGTCAAAGCCTGTAAAATTTCATTAAAATATTCTGAGCGGTTTCCGCAATATTTTTAAATTTGTATTTTTTTATTAAAACTTTAACACCCTGTAGACGGGAAACTAATCGTTTTCGGAATATTAAGGAAATATATCAAAAATCACTTGTACTATAACCTCCTGCAAGGAATGCATCGACTTACAAAACACCCTGTATATTTTGCGTAATACTAGTTACAATTCCATAATAACATATTAGGAATTATAGTTCTCTGCCTGCATCCGGTTCTATTATCATATTTTCCCCTACAGCCTCTCTTTTTCGCCTCATGCACAAAAAAATTAGGTGCGCGATTTTTTCTGACAAAAATGTCGCTTACACACTCGTGTAATTTAAAATATTACTTATTTTATATCGCTATTATGAATTTGTTTTAAATTATTAGATGACATTGATGTATATAATACATACGATTTACCTAGAATTTTATGTATGCCAATCACTGTTATTTAAAAAATATATCCTTTTAAAAAAGGATTAATGAACTTTTTTGATAGCATTCAAAATTATTTTTAGTTTATCATATTATCTTTTCAGATAATAAATATATTGCATATGTCAACAAGACTTCAAGTTTAATAAATTTCATATTTATAGATCTTATCTGTTGAAGAAAACATAACAAAATATTTTCACATAACTTTATTGCTTTATAAAATCTTTAAAACATAAAATCTTTTTCCTAAGAACAATATATAGTTTTCGCTTTCTATTGCTGCTCTACCACGAAAATATTACCTAGTATTTGAATTACTGTAGAATTTTTACTAGCAAAGCTTTAGAAAATTATCTTATAGTTCAAGGAGTCGTATGTTGCAAATACAGGGTCGGAGAGTTCCCATGGTTCATCGGCCGTTACGTGAGAGCGATAAAGTAAGTCATAGAAATCCGTGCGATAGAGAAAGATGGCTATAATGAAGGCGTCTAATAGTCACCGTCCATTTCACCCTTCCACAAATAAGATCCACTTCTTATTTGTGGAAGGGCGAAATGGGCGGTGACTGTTAGACGCCTTCATTATATCTTTCTCTATCGCACGGATTTCTATGACTTACTTTATCGCTCTCACGTAACGGCCGATGAACCATAGGGACTTTCCGACCCTGTATGTCTCCTAAGAGGCTCAAATTAATAAGACAGTAGTCGAATATGCAAAATTATTTAATTAAATTTTTCGGAGAAGCGGAATATGATTTCTTGTTTCCTAAAACCAAAGGGAAGTGGTTCTAAAAAGGTAACACAGTGTAGATTATTTTGAGACAAAATTTTCTGTAATATTATTTGTTATTTTCATTATATGCCTTAAAAAAATTCTACTAATCTCGCCTTTAAGAAAATCGGAAAATAATTTGCCGGAAAATCTAAATTTTTGCATTACAAGTTGTTCATACAAAAATTATCTGAACAAACTTTCCAGTTTATCCTTTAACTATGAAAATAAACAATGTCTCTCAGATTTTTGTTCGCGATATGTAATTTGTTGAAAAGGCACCGAAAATATGAGTAAATGCAAAGACAATTCAAATTGAAAGTAAAAGGATCCCGCACAATACTTATGGAAAGTGGCTTTAGGCAATTTTTTTCGAAACTTTGCTATGTGATAATTCGAATCGCGTGGATCAAAAGTCTGAAAGGCCTCTGTTTTGGACCTATGGCTCCTGAAAGTTGAATTTTTTCCCCTTTACACTGCATAGTAAGAATATAGCAATTATTCTTTTTTGTAAAATTACATTACATTCATAGTAAATGAACCTTTCCCGATCGACTAGAGATGTTTTCATCTGCCGGTTGCGACCGGAAGTAGCTTATTCTGATTGGAAGTCAGTTAAAAAAATAGCATTTTTTTTATTGCGGATTTCCATTTAACACCGAAACTTTTGTTTAAAACATTTTTTTATAAAATCCTACTTTTGAGTCCTAAATGACCTTAGAAGTTGACTCGTGCCGATTCCCGTGAAGGCTACCGGAAGTTGAAACCATCTCTAATCGATCTCGCAAGGTCTATTTACTATGAATGTAATGTAATTTTACAAAAAAGAATCATTGCTGTATTCTAGTTCGTAAGGAGAAAAAAATCAACTTTCACAGATAGACTTTGTGTCCATTGAGACTTGATGCACATAGCAAACTGTCAAAAAAATTTGCCAAAAGCCACATTCCTTATGGATTGTGTGTGTCCTTTTTTCTTGTTTAGTAGAATAAAAACTCAAAACATGTACAAGATAACTTGAATGCATAATTTACTGAAATTGAAATACGTTTTTTGTAGCGATGAGAAAGTTAAGTGACGTAGTATTAGAAAATAGGAAATAAAGGAATATCACATCGTCTCCAAACACATCGCTCCATTACATCCTTCAGCGGCTCGAACAAACAGTAGTCACATGGGATAAGATTAAACTGTATTGGAGATTTTTTGTAGGCAGTCTGTACAGTGTTGTAATAGCTTTATGATGATTTATATTATAGTCCAGACGTATCTGTTTCAGAGTCCATCTTTGGGTGAATCGTATATCCACGGAAATTTTGGGCTTTTTGGCTTTCAAATATCATTAGAAATTAAAATTTTTCTATGTGCATAAAAAAAACATGGGTTTAACTTTGGGCGGCACAATATGTTAAAAAAAATCGAAAAAAGTCATTTTTTTCTTCCTATTTAATTATGTACCTTTTGAAGAGTCGATTTTAGGCGAAAATGGAAGAGGAAAAAAATGTTTGTAATTAAATTTTACAAAATATGACCAGTTACAAATCGAATGAATCTTGATTATTATTGTAAAAATCGAAAAAATCGCCAAAAATGGGGTTAAAAAACATTACTTTTTAGGAAATTTTTTTGGGGTCTTTATGTTGGGTATAGGACCTTCATGCTTGGCTCAAGAAAAGTTCAGGTTATGTAGAATGATCACACCAAATTTCATCAAAATCGGTCCGATAGATTTTACATAATAAATTGGCAATCTAGATTTTGAAAAAAAATTTGCAAATTTTCTAAATTTTGCACACCAAAAACCAAGGCCTTTAGATACTTGAAAATTTAATCACATATAGAAGGGCTCTCAAGCTTTCAAACGCATTTTGAAAAATTCGAATCCGCCAATTAGGAAAACTCTGGTGCTTGTTTAAACATTGGTCGAATTTTTGTACTATAATTTTTTATTTTTGTAATATAATGAGTTAATTTCTCATTTGTTTATATTTTAAACAGTAAATAATATTTGAATTATACTTTAATCATAAAAGAAATGATTTTGTATTTTGGTAATATAATGAGTTAATTTCTCATTTGTTTATATTTTAAACAGTAAATAATATTTGAATTATACTTTAATCATAAAAGAAATGATGATTAAATTAATAATTAATTAATTAATTAATTAATTAATTACTAATTTTCGACATATTTTGAAAATAATTGTTTAAACAATTTTAGAATATTTAAATAAATTTGTTTTTGATCTTTGATAAACAGTATATAAGTTTATGCACTTACCTTTGATACAATAAAAAAATAAAGTTGATAATTAAAGGAAGTTTGAAGATAAATAATTATCGGACTGTTGAAAGACCAATGATNATGGCGGGTGTACTTTTTTGAAATCCACCGATTTCAGTAAAATTTGGCATCATAAGGATTGCTGGAGCCAGATTTTCATAAATCAAGGTAAAAGATTTAAATGCCTATCGTTAATAATTATTAACGATAGGCATTTGAAAATACGCAATTTTTTTTTTTAATCGCGAGACATCGATTTAAAAAAATCATCAAAATCGGACCTCTAGAAGCCGAGATATTAAAAATTTTTAAACGCGTCGCGGTTTTGAACTCGCCGATTCAATTTCGAGCAGGCCGAAGCGGCCGCGCTCTCTGCTTCCCCCACCACCACCACCCATACGATATTCTTGAATTTCTCGCTTGCATAAATAACTTTAAATGCGTTTTAAAGTAGGTTGCCAATGAAGAAAAGTATTACAAACTTAGACCTGGTAAGAACTCGGAATACCAAAGGTATTTTTCGAAAAATTAGCCCTGTTCCAATACATTTAGTGTAAATGACAGTTAACTTTGATCGGCTATAATTACGTAACTAATTGACCAATCGATCTGTTTTTTTAGAAGCGTCTTTCCAATAACTTTTAGAACCTGCTTTAAAAAATTTGATTTGATTGAATATCCACAAAGTTATTCTAATTGCTTATAAGTACAAAAATTCGACCAATGTTTAAACAAGCGCCAGAGTTCTCCTAATTGACGGATTCTAATTTTTCAAAAACCGCTGGAAAGCTTGAGAGCCCTTCTATTTGTGATTAAATTTTCAAGTATCTAAGGGCCTTGGTTTTTGCTGTGCAAAATTTAGAAAATTTGCAATTTTTTTTTCAAAATCTAGATTGCCAAATTATTATGCAAAATATATCGAACCGATTTTGATGAAATTTGGCGTGATGATTCTACATAACATGAACTTTTCTTGAGCCAAGTATGAAGGTCCTATACCCAACTTAAAGACCTCAAAAAAATTCCCTAAAAAGTAATGTTTTTTAACCCTATTTTTGGCGATTTTTTCGATTTTTACAATAATCATGATTCATTCGATTTGTAACTAGTCATATTTTGTAAAATTTAATTACAAAAATTTTTTTCCTCTTCCATTTTCGCCTAAAATCAGCTCTTAAAAAGATACATAATTAAATAGGAAGAAAAATATGACACTTTTCAAATTTTTTTAACATATTGTACCGCCAAAAGTCCACGTTTTTTTATGCGCATAGAAAAACTTTCATTTCTAGTGATATCAGAAAGCCAAAAAGCCAAAAATCTCCGTGGATATACGATTCACCCAAACCCAAACAGATACCGCCTAGTCTATTATGAGGGATTTGTTATTCAAGTCTTTTGCATACTTACAATCTTATAGTTAGGAGTTTTCAACTTTGAATGTTTTCATTATCTTGTCCTTCTAAAATTATACTGTCTAATAGATAATTATGAGTTTTAAAGAGGAAAGCTTTCCCAAACTGCTCTTGATATTAATCAGGTTAACTCTTTCTTTAGTCAGAAAGTGCAATTCTCGGAACAACCCCTTATTGAGAGATTCAGTTTATTTCAAATCTACTGAGGTATACTGTAATTTCTTTTATATGTCATTTATCCTCATGCAGATATCTTCAAAGAACTATCTGGTCCCATTTCATTAGTATAATTAGTTTTTATTATTTGCAAGTCATTTATCTGCTAATATACCTACTTATTAAAGAATCAAAACGCGATTAAGATTCATTTGTCACTAACTGAAATGTAATCCTAGCGTAGAGATCTATGGCGATAAATATTGTTTATCATTGTGTAATAAAAAGTAATTTTAAATCTGTTTATTAAATTTACAACATATCTGGTTATGTCAACGTAAATTAATCTCTTTAACCTCTTTAGAAATGATTGAAGTTATAAATATAGCAACAATTTTTATCAGTATGTTTCGATTCCGTCACATAACGATAATTTTTTTATCTGTCCATTTGGGAACTATATTTTTCTCAACATTGTGGAATTTATTTGAAAAGAAAATAGAAAATAGTCTCTAATGGTTATTTTTCTCCTCTATAAGAATATGGAATTGAAAATTTACCCTTATTATTAAACGGCCGATCTTGCTCAGTTTTATTGCCAATAAAACGATTATGACAAACTTTCGACTAAGTTTCTAATTTGAATAATTCATTGGACCGACACCCCCCAAACAAACCCTTTATTACAACAACCTTTTAATGTAAAATCTAAATTACTAAAATTATTGAAGAAAATTTTTATAAAAATTTCACCGTCGTCTCGTAAAAATCTTATGATAAATTCGGTTTCAAAACTTTCGATTTTTTTAGGTAATTATCAATTTAATTTTTTTATCAACGTAATCAGCTGTATTTGAAGGAATTTTGAAGTGTTATTTGATGGAGTGGAGTTTCATTTACCAGCCTTTAGCATCGAGTAATAAGAAACATAATGTTGAAAGATTTACTTTGTCTTGTCTAAAAGGTATGCCAGAAGTAGCTTTTCATTCACACCATTTGATAATATTTACGCTTTTCCACTTTTTAAAGCACGAATATTCTTTTTCGTATATCAGCCGCGATTTTTGGGACAATAGTTTCCCCACGGTCTCTAATGCACCTTTTCCACATCTGAAGGAAGTTTTTCTTCTTCAAATTTGTTTTCACGTATTTATACTTTTACTTTGTGCAGAACAAACAAGGCAACACATATCAGAACTGGTGAAGCAGAATAACACAATAGTTATTTATTCCATTGCTATGCATTCTTCCTAGTAACTAACCTCAAGTACTCACTGGGATTTTAAAACGTGACTCAATTAGTAATTAATTTGTTAATGTTTTTATTTTAAAATTTGCTATAGAAAAGAATAGAATATTATACACGAAGATAAGACTCGTGAAATTAACTCACTCGTCGACAAAGTATTAAAGTTCTTTAACTTGGATTTTGTAGGTATAGGTATATCATGCAATCACAGTGAAGATATTTAGAAATAGAAAAAAAAATATTAAAAATGGAAAGCTGATTTTACCTCATGAAGACAACTTTCGTGTTTTCTTTCCTTTGGAATTGCATTAGTTAGTCGTGCTGGCTCAAACGGTCTCACAGATTTTTAAATGAACATATGTGGAAGTTTATTATAATTCTCTGCACATTTCCCAGTTCGAAAATTCCAGTAGAATATCATGAATGCATCGCAACCATTACATTACGTTTACAGAACACATTCCGCGTATTAGTCTAATCATGATGTATATCAACTAGTATATAGGTACAGCAAAATGCGCAATTTGATGTCTATTCCCAGTTCTAGAACCATATATTCTACAGAATGTCCTCAGGGGTAACTTATGGATTGAAATCGTGGAAGTTGCAGCAACTTTATAAGTGTTTTATACGAAGAAGGAGGCAATGTATGGGACTGGATAATAAAACTAATATTACTAACAAATAAAAATAAATTAAATATATTTATACTATTGAGAGTCTCACTCTTATGACAGCAACATTTCAACATCTTTTTTAAATTTTGTCCAATTTGATTCAACTAACTAGTTTGTTTAATTGATAGACATATTCATATTTGTAACATTTTCAAATTCAAAGCATCCTGAAAATCCAAAATAGGTAGAGTAAAAAATAATAAACCGATATTAGGCACTCTTTATCCGAAATTTTTTATTCCATTGATCATAATCAACCAAAATGAGTAGATTGAAAATTAGTTAACAGTTAAACTTTAAAAAGTAACATTTTCATTAAAAATCAATTCTTAGTTAAAAAAGTATGTTTTTGTTTGTAATTGTATCTGTATTTTAATATGTTGTAAAATATATTAATAAAGAAAGTAAAGTAAATAAAAGTAAAAGTAAAGAAAGTAAAGAAATATTAGTCTCAAAAACAACTAGTCTTTAGGGATATTATTTTTTTAAAGCTATTAATGTCATGATGTATTTTCTTAATTTTTCAACTTGGTACTTACATATTTTATTTTAAATTGCAGGTTCTATGAAGCTGTTTCAAAGGAATTTGGTCATAATGAAAACGTACTTAAAATAGCAAAATTACTTGAGTCCTGGCTTGAGAAGTTCTTCTTCTGTTTGAACTCAGAATCCTGGTTTAATATTTCCACAAATGGTGCACATGTTTTTGAGAGTTGTGAAGGCGACCAGCAACTAAATTGGAGAGATAAGGGCTACCGTACTATCTTGGATGTTCTAATGGTAAACGAGATTAATGCGTGTCAATTCAAAATTACACAACCACAAAAAAAGTTCTGTACCAAAAACTTTAGAAAGAAATACATGCAAATTATATGCCCACGCACCCCCACGAGGGGGTTGTTTCCGCCTCTAAGATCAAATAACGAATGTTAGTACAAAATAATGTGAAAAACCATAGCTTTATATTTTATACTACCAAATATATAAATGTAGGTTCGTATACAACATACCAAAAAAATATAACTTATCCCTCAAAGGGTTAGAATCCACTTACAGACTAGGCTCCCATTTACCCACTATACTTCAATATATTTGCCTGAATTTTGTTACCGCGGGGTTTTGGGGTCGCTGATTTCGAATCTGAAGTCCAAATCCTAAAATTCCTGAATAAAAGACGGCGGATCCAATATGGGGGATGTAAAAATTGGAAGAGCATTCAAAATTTGAAGATTATGGCTGAAACTTACGCTTAAATGGTAAATATAAAACAAAAGTAGCAAGTATTAGTAGTAGGTTGGGGGCGGCCACAGCCTGACAATTGGGCCACAAGTGGACCCTTTTTGCTTGCCCCGTCGTCCCTCTACTTATCCTCCAAGATTTCAATCCATGGCGGGTCCCACACCTCATCCTCTTGGGCCTTCCTACATCCTCTCTTCATCCTCTGGTTTTAACCTTATGGTTGAAAGTCCCATTTTAGGAACCGTTAATGCTACCTCATGTGATTCCGACGATTAGTTCAGGTCCCTGACTAGGCCTCTTGGATCCAAGAAGAGCCAATTGATCTGCCAACTCGTTGCCAGAGATACCCATATCTCATATGACCAAGAACCCAAACCAACTCTACCTGTCTTCGTTGCCAGTAACTTCAGGTAATCTCCACACTCCTGAACAAGGATGGACCTTGTCCTCGCGCAGCTTATCCACAATTCCTTACCTCCTCCTCCTCCTCTGGCACCATCAAAATAGCGAAAAGCGACTAGTATACATACCCAATGAAAAACTTTCCTGGATGCCACCGTCTTTCAAGTATATATTCAAGTAGCAAACTGTCACAACTAAACAGACGGAGCGGTTTCTGCCGAACCGGCTACCGCTCGGCAGAGGATCGGCTCAAAATACATGTGGCGTCACCCCAACTTCCGACCGACAACTTGTCCAGTCTTTTAAGTAGTGCGCAGGTGGAATAAAGTATTTTGTCTTTGTCTTTTTAAATTTGTCTTTTCTCCTCCATTACAGCACCCTCATCAACGAAGGCATCGGTGACCTCTTCCCAAGAACGTTTCTTTTTTATTTTGTTGGAATAATCCTCTGAACGTATATCCCAAATCTCTGGTCTAACATCTGTTGGTCACCGTCTGTTTCATTCAATGGAAGTGACATAAAGGATGCACCGCTTCGACGACCGACTCGGCAGCCGATTCGGCAGAAACCGCTCCGTCTGTTTTAGGCTTAAATTCTAACTAACACTTCCAGGTGTGACAAACTATGCCCCTATAATTATAGGGGCAAATCGAATTTATATTCTTTGTTTCTCATTTTTAGACATTTGCCTATTTTTACTCAAATTATTCAAATTTTTAAAAATTTATAACGTTTTTCTTTGGGTGGTAAATACCAATTTCTATTACACTTTTCAATCCATCGTAATGTGTCTGCAATTTGGATTTAAGAATTTTCGAATAAACTACCCCAGTCATTCTACAGGAAAAAGAGCGATTTCAAGGAAAAATTGATAGCAGCAATCTGACGAGGGGATCTTGTAGGGGGGGTTAATGAAAAATACATAAACTAGTACAGCCAATTTTGCCCCCACTCCGAATAAACAATGGTCAAAGTAGTCAAAATGAGGTTTTTCTCAAATATAATTTTTCAGAGGCAAGATAGAGAAAAAGTCTTCATATGAAAGAGGTAGGTATTAAAAAAACCTACAATTTCATTTGTTATGCATTAAAATCGCTGTATTATTTATCGAGATAATTGCAAAACACATGCATTTTTGCAGTGTTTTTAAATTGTTAATAGCTTTTGCAATAATGGTTACTAGAAATGAGGGTATTATAACACTTTATATGTGGCCACAAATTGGGCCCGATCGGTCCAATAGTTTATGAATAATTGAGCTAGGTCACTGAGTGCATAAAAATCAATTTAAATGCCGGGAAATGATAGTTAAAAGTCTGAAAACTGTGGTATGTTAAAAAAAATCGATTTTTTCAATTTTGTTGCATTTTTTTCAATGCAAAAAAGAGGTATTTTTTATAAATAAATATAAGTAACTCCGGAACTACTGTTCTCAGGACACGACAGTCATATCACTGGATAGCTGGTAAAAAAACAAAGATTAAAAAAAATGCCCTACGCCCTTTCTGGTCCGAGATAGCCCTTTTTAAAAAAAAAATCACAGCGCCATTGTTTATAAACATTAATGGCTGAAATTAATATATATGTACAAAGGTCTAAACTTTATGATACATTCAACTCAGATTCATGAATAAATAAAAAACTTATAGTAACTCAATGTGGAGGTAAATTATCTCGTTCAGTCGGCGTGTGAGTGGGGGGGGGGGGTGAACCAGCTCGGAGATTCAAAATCGTGCCTGCTCGAAAATTTTGCAATATCTCGGCTTCCGCTTGACGTAGAAGCTTCATTATTTTTTAAACTGGGGCAGCTCGTCGAAAAAATGACAACTAGACCACCAAGCGACCCCTAAAATATCATCCAACCCCTAAAATATCATCCAACCCCTAAAATAAGGGTTGGTTCTTATAAGTGGTTTTTTAAAACATTTTTTCGTCGTGCAATTTGACTACAAATACCTTTAAACGTATTAGACCAGGCAATAAAGAGAAAAATATCTAGATTTTCGCGGCCGGGACCGATTTTAATGCGGTTTTTTGCATTTTGTTCAGAAAGACCGTCGGAAAAAAGTCCCGCCTTTTTTATAATCCAGAAGTGGCGGAAATGCATCGCGGGTGCATAAGTGCATCTAGAAGTGCATCGCATCCGACATTTTACCAGTCATATCGAGAACTTTAGATTTCAACCCCCCACCCCCGCCCCCTCCACGAGCACAGGGGATATTTTTCACCTTTCGAATTCGAAATCAGCACCCGCGAAAACCCCCGAGATCCATTTTTCCAATCATTCGGAGAACCTTGTAATCCACGTGCTCCCCGCGCCCCCCAGGCGGCCGGAAGTCGCCACTGGGGGGGGGGGTGGACTGGATATATGCATATTCGAATTCTGCGCCCCCCAAAACCCCCGAGTACCAATTTTTGCGGTATTTCGTGCACTTTGGCAAGTTTCTCGGATGCGATGCACTTCTAGATGCACTTTATGCACCCGCGATGCAATTTCGACACTTCCGGATAATAAAAAAGGCGGGACTTTTTTCCGACAGTCTTTCTGAACAAAATGCAAAAAACCGCATTAAAATCGGACCGGGCCGCGAAAATTTAGATATTATGGGGTAAATCGTTCTTTATTGCCTGGTCTATATGGAATGCAATTCACAACCTCTAAAATGTTATCCAATCAAGGGTTGGTTTTTATTACCGTCCTTTTTTCATTATTTTTTCTAATATTCGACAGAAAATATATTTTCTACAAAGAACAATTATTATTTTTGTTACTTTGAGCGTTTTTATTTATATATTTTTACTTTTTAGAGCTGGAATTAATCCCCTCGTAGTGATGGATGTGAATATAATTTGCATATATTTCTTCCCTATGCTCAAAGTATTATTTTAAAATGTTTTCTTAAAGTGTTTATAAATTGTCGCATTTCATTATAAAGCTCACTTACCTTATGCTCACTTTTACTAAAAAATGCCCTGGTAGATAAGTTTTTGGGCTGCAGATTCGAATTCAGCATAAAAAAATACATAAAATCTATGTACTCATATCTCTGGTATATAACTTTTTTTTGTGTGACTGCGTTATTTATACTCTCTTCCGTTCTACGGTAGTAATGAAACTTGAGTCTTCAGAAATTAAATACTTACCCGATATTTGGATGTGACATTTTCATTTTTTTATGCATAAAATGTAACGTTCCATAAGAATGTTGTGAGTGAGTTAGTAGTCTACCAACTGATGATAGGTATCTAAACATATTACTCTTATAGTGAACCCTTTTGGCTACATTTCCTTTGAAAATGGATTCTTACAGTTCTTCAATTCTGTGTATATTAAAAACTCGATTATAATTTTTTTTTCCAGTCTTCATTTGTACAGTACGTTGTAAAAAATTGTGTATATTAAAGAAAACAAAATAAGAACCACATTTTAAAATAATTATAATAAATTATATCCTTCCTCCTCTTACTATTTCTAAATGTATATGTTTTTTCAGAAAAAAATTCCTGACGCTACGAAACAGCTACCACTGGACGATAAGATATTTTTAAATAAAGAAGTGTCCAAAATTACCTGGGACAATAACACTACCAACTTTAATGGGGTCACAGTTAATTGCTCGGATGGCTCTACCTTCAATGCCGATCACGTTATTGTTACTACTTCACTCGGGGTCCTTAAAAAGTTTCATGAATCATTGTTCATCCCAGAATTACCTCCTTACAAAATCAATTCCATCGAGGGTATTGGTCTGGGAACAGTAAACAAGATTTTATTAAAATTCCCTACGAAATGGTGGTCAAATGATCTGAAAGGAATAAATTTATTATGGACAGAAGAGGATAGAGTAAATTTACATAAGGAATCGCACCTTTTTGGACCTTCAGAGAATTCAGATAATGGAAGATGTTGGTTAGAAGATATTTTTGGTTTTTATGTAATTGATAGTCACCCTAGAGTGTTATTGGCTTTTGTCGTTGGAAAATCAGCACCAAAAGTTGAATTACTATCCGATGAATTGGTAATTGGAGGATGTATGTATTTGCTAAAAAAATTCTCTGGCTGGAAATATGAAATACCAGAAGCCGATGAAGTTTTGAGGTAGGTAGTTTACATAAAGAATTAGTCACTATTTTCATATAATTGAAATGTCATCTTGATAATTCCCAAATCTGAATATCTCCCAAATTTTATTACTGGTTGCCTATATCGTTACATTTAGGTACCTATTCGAAGTAAATAAACGAAAATTGTAAACATTTCTATATAATATGCCAAAAAATCGATATTTTGAACGCTCAGAAAATATAAACGAGTTAGTACGGAGACGCGATCAAAACGATTGTCAAATTTTTAATCTGAGTCTACAGTCTAAAACTAATACCCAACACACGTCCACCATTTTATTTCACTCTAATAAACATAAAATATTGAAACTATGAAAACATTTATACCATCATTACATCTCTTTTTGGTGCGTTTAACAAATAACGAATCCACGTCCGCAACGACTGTCTTTGATATGAGGGCACACTCGTGACATAATGGCAATATTAAAACGGTTCTTGTATACTTTACTCTGTTGGGGAAGGGGGGGGGGGTCATGTGAACCTCAACTCTCTTTTTTCATTCCCTCAATCAGCTCGAAATTCAGTGATCTTTTAGTACACGTGGAGGTTACATGAAATATAATACTACTCCGAAATCATAATAATTCCTAACTTTCTGAACTTAATTTTATACTTATCGAATAATTGAATGTATGAAAATATAATAATTTAATTACTTTTATACGAAAGAAAATTATGAATATATAATAATACGTATTGTTTCCACGCAGTCCTCCAATTCTTTCATGTACCTAGAAGAATCATGTTTCGCCATCTCTTGTTGACATAAGCACTAAATCGGGTGGTAAATTTAAATTGATGTACTTTTCCAGAAAACATTTGTTTTTTTTTATTGGCTCCTAAAAACTGTTAATTAATTATTAATATAACGTAACTAATAAATACATCGCTGTAAACACAATAAGTAAAAATTAAATAAGTTGGTACATTATAACTTTATAACATTTACGAACAACAATTTGTAATTTACATAGTATTTATTGGGCAATTAAAATACAGAAATTTATTATAATATAATAGCATATCGTGCTTTTTTGAATTTCTGTAGTATATAAAAAACAACATAAGATATGTCGATGTTACAACTAATCTAAAAAAACGGTAAAGGTCATGAAGCTTACCAGCAATTAGGCCATGCTTGGCCCTTTTTGCCTCCTAACTTACACTACCCTCCACCTTAACAATCACAAACATCCTTGGTTACGACATAGAGATTCCTTCGAACCCACTACGGTTTTTCCGCACAGCCCTGGTTCGCCTCAGTAGGCAAGCCTTGGTCGCTTCGGCTACCGCCGCGCCCTTACAACTAATCTACTAGACATCGGAAACTGTGGCCATAGTCAAATAAATAAACATCTATATTATGCTAGTAAGCGGCAATACGCGTTGTAGTAGCATACATATCCTAAATCTGTAGTCAAACTGTGTGCCGCTCTATGCTCACAATGCACATGACATGGATAGTGAAATTACTAAAATGTGATGTAGTTGATGCTTCGCCACTATTAGTAAAAATAGCATCTATTAAAAACTTTGACTATTTTGGATATACTCCTGTGAACTCGGTAAATATTAAACATTCATTTTCGTTTTTAAAATGGGTATTTACCTACCGATCGCCAGAGACGATTAACCGCGGAACACTGTTAATTATTTTCTACAGTCGCTTTCCTTATGAGTAAGAAATTAAGTATTACTTTGTTAACTTCTGTTGGTACTTATTATTACGTACTATACCTACAGACCGTACGATATTTGTTGAGAATTCCAAGAGGACCTATCACTTCACTTTCTTGAAATTAACCTCGTCAGACACCCGAGGTAGAAAGACATTGGCGGCTTGGCGTTCACTGTAGTAGCTTGCAGTTCATACTGTGTTTTGCAGTTAAGAAGGTGTGTTCCTTCATAAGTACATTTTCAGTTTAATTTAAAATAAATCAATGGAAGTGAAAAGTAAAATAAACAATTAAAAACCTGTGACAGTTGTCATGTTGATGGTTACTTACCTGTCACGACCAACCTAAAATGTGCGAAACAAATGGATATATCATTTTAAGAAAAGGGAAATGTTTATTCGTAAATAAAATGAAAACCACTGGCTTTAGTTATAGGGAAACTTTAACAAAGTTACACTTAATTTTAGTGCAAAATGCGAATACGTTAAAAAAATTAGGTGATTCCATTTAAAAATTTCGAGTATTCCANGCCAAAGCAAAAACAAAACACGTATAACAACACTGCAGTGATACGGGATACTGCCACATGGAGTCCCAAAACAAAGCGCACGAGCCTATCGTCGCCTACCCTCCACGTACCAATTTGTCCAATCATATGTAAAAATATGCTTGCACGGTGGACTACGATTTCACCGTCCGCGATGGACTGGGGATAGCGCGCGCGGTTAAACATAAGTCTTTGGTACGATCATAGATGCCAGATGGCATTAATCTGAGCTACGTTCACGGAGTACATGCACTTTATGCAACCAACCTAACATCCAAGAGATATAGAATGCATGCTATTTAGATTTCTTATTGATTTAAATAAATACATTATTTTAAGTTTATAGTTTGAAAATATCTGGGGGGGCGGAGTCCCAGAGTCCTCCTTCACGAGCCGCCACTGCGTACTATACCTACAGACCGTACGATATTAGTTGAGAATTCCAAGAGGACCTATCACTTCACTTTCTTGAAATTAACCGCGTCAGACACCCGAGGTAGAAAGACATTGGCGGCTTGGCGTTCACTGTAGCAGCTTGCAGTTCATACTGTGTTTTGCAGTTAAGAATGTGTGTTCCTTCATAAGTACATTTTCAGTTTAATTTAAAATAAATCAATGGAGGTGAAAAGTAAAATAAACAATTAAAAACCTGTGACAGTTGTCATGTTGATGGTTACTTACCCGTCACGGCCAACCTAAAATGTGCGAAACAAATGGAAACATCATTTTAAGAAAAGGGAAATGTTTATTCGTAAATAAAATGAAAACCACTGGCTTTAGTTATAGGGAAACTTTAACAAAGTTACACTTAATTTTAGTGCAAAATGCGAATACGTTAAAAAAATTAGGTGATTCCATTTAAAAATTTCGAGTATTTCACATTTTCTTCATATTCGATTTTTTGACCACCCTGTATCAAAACTGTAACATTTTTATATCAAATTCGATAAATTAGATCTTCCTTTACAACATGTCCAATTTGCACAAAAAAATAAACCTATGTTTCCGGGAAAACTAAATTCTGCTGACAGTCTGCATCTGTCAATTTTTGCTTAAAAATCAAAATATCTCGGAAACGATCAATCCTAAGTATGGAGTGTGTTATATGTTTTTAACTTAAAAATAGATACTCTTTCCAAAAATGCAATAATATACAGGGGATTCCATTTAAAATAAGAAAGTTAGTATCGACTTCCGGTATAACCGGAAGTACGATGATCTTGAAAATATTTTAGCTTGGTAGGCCCCACGGTCTGTATCACACCATCACAATTTAAAAAAAAAATCCTTCGAGCGGTTTCCCATATATCCATCGATGGATATCTCTCTTATTGGGGATAAGAATTTTATAGAAAAATATGTCTATTCAAAGATGTAGGCCTATATATATTTTAATAAATATTTATTCATTTTAATTAAAATTGTTTCATAAAAGGTATAATAGGTGCGATTCCTTTGATAAGGAACCGAGGAAATATTTAATCTTGAAATTTAGTACATTTCATTTCAATACAGCACAATGAATTGTATACAGACGGGGTACGTTATTATCGATATTTCTGCTTATACTTCTGAAAATATGAAAAAGTAATAAGGAAGGCTTCATTTTAAGCTAAATTGAAAGGCGATATCTGTGTGTATACTCGATTGGCAAGAGCGAGGATTTTATTCATCCTTCTGACGTCAAAATACACTGATAAACGTATTATTTTCATTTCATTTGATTTAAAAATTATAAAATAGGTAATATTTTCATAAGTGAAACATTCTATTAATTTTTCAGTTTTTAAATCGAAAAAAATATTTTAAAATGATTTTATCTTTATTCGACTGTGACAGAAATTTCGCCTCTAAGTTTTATAGAAACCGTACAAATAAGTCAGCTAATTTCAATTCGCCTTTTAATTTAGTAGTATCATAATTAAATAAATTTGATAGGAGTAAAATCTTCGAAGAGAGATTGTCATTTTGATAAATAACAACCATATCAACTGTCTGCAGTGTTGTCAGGGTTGGCTCGAGAAAACAAAGAATAAGAAACTGGACGACCAAGAACTACCACGCTTACTGACGATTTTATCTCTATTAAATTCACTCAATTGTGAATACTGAACTCATCTTCGAACTCGAGGTATATTAATCTTTTATACAAAAGCGACATTCATTAAAAAGATACAGAAAATTATCAACAACTGTTAAGACTACACTAATAGAACCCAAATTGCTTCAACAATTTTTATTTACATTTCCAACTTTCGGCAGGTAATAGTAGTTACTAGCCAGAAATTTGTAAAAATGTTTAAATATAGATAATCTAACCAGCTGTAACCGATCGATTCAGTTTTTTGCACTAAGTATCTGTAGATTTTAAAATAATATATTTATTAGGTCTATATCTCAAGATCAATATATTCAATTGCTTCTGTAAAACCACAAATTTTATTCTTACACTTTTTTCGCGTTACTGTTTGTACAGGGTGGTTGATTTTCGATAGTTTTATAGGGTACAGCCAAAACGGTGATAGATACAAAAAATCTGATATCGATGTCCCGTTCTCTTTTTTTGAGTTTACTTCGCTGGTCCCAAAAGATCTTGGCTAACTTGATTAGTTTTAGATATACAGGGTTTTTTTGAAAAATGGCCCATTTACATTAACCTCTCTATCTCCGTTGTCATTCAATTTACAAGAAAAAAGTGTGCACATTATTTGTTCCATTTTTTATTAGGAAGCCATTGGCGTACTCAGA